GCTTTCTCAAAAGGCTATTGGTTGGCCAGTTGTGTTTTTACAACCATCTTGCAGCCTCAAGGTCAGTACTGATGATGCAAATTTTAGTTTAACTTAAACCACATTCACCAATTGCCAGGAACTCATGCATTTCAGGTTATTAATCGAGGCTAAGTCTCTGGATTCCTCATCCAGTGAGATAGCTGCTACACTATCACATTTTAAGATACTCTGTTGCTTTATTCCGTTCCTCCTGCTTCATAGCAGTGGGACCTGGTTCCTAAAGATTGTTTGAAGGTTACAAAGAGTGACTGCTCAAAGGTTTAAGGGGGGTGGCTGTGTCTGATTGATCCTCCTCTAAGCACCACTTAGAGCTCATTTCATCCTCGATTCGCACAGCAACATTGGCACCTGGTCACCCAAAGTGTCTCTGCACCAGGGGTGTGGGGAGGGTGAAGAGGGGGAAGAACCTTCCGCAGGAGGAACTGAGATTCTCTCTGCTGCACCATGAGAAAGAAAGGCGATAAGCAAGACTGAGACCCAATCCAGTCACCCACAATAAAGACAGAAAATGCAGGAAAGGCTCGGCAGAACAGGCGGCAGCTTATGGAGAGAGAGAGAGGGAGAATGAAAGAGTTAAAATGTTAGGCTGACAGTATGTTGCCGGTTCTGAGGAAGGATTGTTAACTTTGTCTCTCTCCGCCTGACCTACTGTGCCTTTCCCAACAGTTTGTCTTTTTAATTACGATTTCTAGAGTCCCCAGTATTTTGCTCCATCTGTTTGCTGCCTCCTATTCTCAGGTAGATTGCTATCCATCACCTGTGCGGTTACAATGGGACGCTCAGTTCATTCCAAACAAACAGCCTCTTCCAGCAGCACCCCATCCGCCACCTTCAATGTTCACTCCCTCCCTCCACCACCAGTACTGGCTACAAAATGTCCTGCAGCAACTCAACAAGGGCTCCAATCTTCCACCCCTCCCACCGAGAAGGACAAGGTAACCTGCTCATTCCCCTCTGAGTCAGACCAGTCTAAGGATACACACTAGTGAGACTGAGATGAGGAGAAATGTCTTCATTCAGAGAGTGGGGAGCCTGTGCAATTCTCTGCCACAGCAAGTGGTTGGGACCAAAACGTTGAATATTTTGAAGAAGGAGTTGGATTTTAGGGCTAAAAGGATCAAAAGGTCTTGGGAGAAAGTGGGAACATGGGACTGAGTTGGATGATCAGCCATGATCATATTCAATGGGGGAGCAGGCTCGAAGGGCTGAATGGCCTACTGCTGCTCCTGTTTTCTATGTTTCTATGAACAACATACTATCCCAACTTGGAACTATATAACTGTTCCTTCAGTGTCACTGGGTCAAAACCCTGGAAGCTCCATCCTCATAGCACAGTGGGTGTGCCAACACCACATGGACTCCCATGGTTTGAGAAGGAAACTCACTATCTTCTCAAGGGCAGCTGGGGCTGGGTAAGAAATGCTGACATTCCCATAAATTAATGAAAGAAAAGGGAAATAGAGAATGCTGGTGTTTATTTCAAGGGGGATGGAGTATAAAAGTAAGGAAGCCTTGTTACAGCTGCACTGGCCATCAGTGAGATGCCACCTCATTAACTGCAATGAAGAGGCATTCCAGCAGGGGTCAGTAGTTGGCGATCTGAAACAGGAACCTGCCAGGCTTTCTTTTCTCTGATTACTGAGTTCAAATCACTTTTTAGGCTGAAGTGCCCTAACTCAGCACAGATCCAGAGCTTTCTAGAACTTTCTGGGTCCATCTGTTTGCAGGAACGTAGGATTTAGGAGCGGGGTTAGACCATTTGGCCCCTTGGGCCTGCTCCACCATTCAATAAGATCATGGCTTATCTGGTTGTGATCTCACCTCTGTTTCCTTGTTTCCCTCCATTATTCCTTGCCTCTGTTATCTTTCAAAACCAAATCTAACTCTGCCTTGAAAAGCATTCATCACAGGGAAGCGAATTCTAGGATTCACAACTCTCTGACAGAAAAAAAAATCACCTCATCCCTATCTTCAAAGGGAGACTTCTCAAACTGTTCTTTCCCCATTTCTAGAGATAGTAAGAACTGCCGATACTGGAATCTGAGATAACAAGGTGTGGAGCTGGAGGAACACAGTAGGCCAGGCAGTATCAGAGGAGCAGGAAAGCTGACGTTTCGGGTCGGGACCCTTCTTCAGAAATGGCGCTTTCCTGCTCCTCTTATGCTGCCTGGCCTGCTGTGTTCCTCCAGCTCCACACTGTTTCCCCATTTCTTGTCTCTCTCACAAGAGGATACATCCTCCCAATATTGACCCCATTAATTGCCCACGGGATCTTATATGTTTCAGTAAAATCATCTCTCAGTTTTCTAAACTCCAATGCACAACCTGTCTAACATTCCTGCAAATTAGAACTCCCTGATCCCAGGAATGAGCCGAGTGAACCTTCTCTGAACTACACCTAATGCATCTTCAAATAAGGAGACCAAACTGTACACAGTACTCCAGAGATGGACATCCTGGGCCTCCTCCAGTGTCACAACGATGCCACCCGGAAACAGCACCTCATATTCCACTTTGGGAGACTACAACCCAATGGTCTCAATATGGACTTTACTAGCTTCAAAATCTCCCCACCGTCGGCCTCATCCCAAGACCAACCCTCCCTCTCATCCTTCCCTCCTTGACCTGTCCATCTTCTCTCCCACCTATCCATTCCTCCCACCTCACTGACCTATCCCCACCACTAACTACCTGCTATCACCATCCCACCTCCCTTCCCCAGCCCACACCCCCCTCTATTTATTTCAGAGCCCCCTTCCCCTCCCCCATTTCTGAATAAGGGTCCTGACCCGTAACATCAACTTTCCTGCTCCTCTCATGCTGCCTGGCCTACTGTGTTCCTCCAGCTCCACACTGTGTTGTCTCAGACTCCAGCATCAGCAGTTCTTACTATCTCTGCAGTAAAACCTCCCTACTTTTATATTCACTCCTCCTTGTAATAAATAACACATTTATATTTGCCTTCCTAATTGCTGTACTGTACCAGCCAACTAGTGGGGCTGTGTTTCATCTATCAGCACACCCAGATACTACTGCGCTATTGAGTTGTACATTCCTTCTCCAGTCAGTTTACTGTTTTTGTATTCTTCCAGTCAGCATGGACTAATTCACAAAAACTAAAAACAAAGAACTGTGGGTGCTGGAAATCAAAAACAAAATCAGAAATTGCTGGAGAAACTCAGTTGGTCTAGCAGCATCTGTGGAGAAAGAGTGGAGCTAACGTTTCGGGTCCACTGACCCTTCCTCAGAACGAATTCAAATCTTAGACTAAGTTGCCTTTCCCCATAGTACACTCCATCAGCTAATTTTTTGCCCACTCACTTAATCTGTCTTTACAGAATTTCCACCTCCACTCAACAATTTACTTTCCGACATATCTCGATCTCAACGGCATATTTAGGTCTTGCAAGTTGTGCCCCTGCATCCATATCATTGATGAAGATTGTCAGTAGTTGTGAGACCCAACAATGAACCCATGGTACTTCACTAATTACAGTCTGCCAACTCCAAAAAGGCATACTCCCTGCTTTCAGTTTGCGCACCAAACTTTTATCCATGTTACCCACTACACTGTCCTGGTTCAATATGACACCACTACTGGCTGCCCAATAGGAGACAGAGGGTGGTAGTAGATGGAAAGTATTCAGCCTGGAGCTCGGTGATCAGCGGTGTTCCACAGGGATCTGTTCTGGGGCCTCTGCTCATTGTGATCTTTATAAATGACTTGGATGAGGAAGTGGAAGGGTGGGTTAGTAAGTTTGCCGATGACACAAAGGTTGGTGGAGTTGTGGATAGTATGGAGGGCTGTTGTAGGTTGCAACGGGATATTGACAGGATGCAGAGCTGGGCAAAGAAGTGGCAGATGGAATTCAACCCGGAAAAGTGTGAAGTGATTCATTTTGGAAGATCGAATTTGAATGCACAATACAGGGTTAATGGCAGGATTCTTGGCAGTGTGGAGGAACAGAGGGATCTTGGGGTCCACATCCATAGATCCCTCAAAGTTGCTACCCAAGTTGATAGGGTTGTTAAGAAGGCATATGGTGTGTTGGCTTTCATTGGCAGGGGAATTGAGTTTGAGAGCCGCGAGGTTATGCTGCAGCTCTATAAAACTCCTGGTTAGATCACACTTGGAATATTGTGTTCAGCTCTGGTAGCCTCATTATTAGGAAGGATGTGGAAGCTTTAGAGAGGGTGCAGAGGAGATTTACCGGGTTGCTGCCTGGACTGGAGGGCAGGTCTTATGAAGAAAGCTGGGGCTTTTCTCATGGAGCGAAGAAGGATGAGAGGTGACTTGATAGAGGTGTACAAGATGATGAGAGGTATAGATAGAATTGATAGCCATAGACTTTTTCCAAGAGCAGAAATGACTATTACAAGGGGCATAATTTTAAGGTGATTGGAGGGAGGTATAGGGGAGATGTCAGAGGTAGGTTGTTCACACAGAGAGTGGTGGGTGTGTGGAATGCACTGCCGGCAGTGGTAGTGGAGTCAGATACTTTAGAGACTTTTAAGCGACTCTTGGATAGGCACATGGAGGATAGTAAAATGTAGGGTATGCAGGGTAGTTTGATCTTAGTAGGATAATAGGTCGGCACAGCATCATGGGCTGAAGGGCCTGTACTGGTCTCTGTTCTATGTTCAATCTCTCACCCCAAGAAATTGGCATTTTCTCCAGTACTGACCTCTTGTCTATCCCACAGTCGCTTTGTCCCAGTATTAGCAGTCATGCCTTGGCCTCTCGGTTGCAATCGTTTGGTCAAATCTCCGTATATTTCCACCCTTGGCTCAGTGTCAGTGATCTATCTGTGAATATGTTCCTGTGAGATCTTTTATGTAAATGAAATTTGCTGCTGTTAGGGAGAATTTATCAGGCAACCAGGATTGGGGGGGGTTTCCTTGTATTGCTGCAAAATCCAAAATTCACTTTTCCTCTCTTACTTGCCGTTATTTTGCAGTTGGACGCAGATCGTGAGGAGGATGAAATATTCTGTGACATCAATGCTGTGGTTTTGAAGAGACTGTTCCCAGCAGGAAGAGACGGTAGGACTTATTTCTGTGGATTTCTCCAACCTTTCTTTAACCCGTAACACAGGAAAAACCAAGTGTGTTGCGGCACCAAACAGGAAGGGATTCTTGGAAGCAATTCCTTAGTCAATGAGTTAGCTTTTAACAAAGACAAGCCTGTTTTCTTTCATCCTCCGTCAGATAACATTGTTTTAATTGCCCTGCCTCTCACATCGGAAATGTAGGGTAGGTGGAATGGGAGGAGATTCCTGTGGAGTACAAACACCAGCATGGATTGGTTGGGCCAAATGGCCTGCTTCAGTGCTGTGCATTCTATGTAATTTACCGGATAGTGACCTGCTTAGGTTTCAGAGCTGGAGAAACTGTTTTGACTAAGAGTGTTTGAGGCATACTTTGTAGTAGTGGAGTTTGCCTGAGGAACTGAGCTTGTTAGTACCTGCTTTTTGGCTACTAAGTGAGCTCCTAAAATTCTAAGATCTCATCCAGGGCACATGCATGCATTCTTGTGGGCTGCCTGACGCCATATTGGTGCAGGTGTTAGTGTGCATTCCGTGAATAGTCACAGAAATTCAGAACAAATAGATGTCACAGTAGAGTGGCTCTGTGGTTAGCACTGCTGCCTCACAGTGCCAGAGACCCGGTATCGATTCCACACTCGAGTGACTGCCTGTGTGGAGTTTGCTCATTCTCCCTGCGTCTGTGCAGGTTACCTCCCGATGCTCCAGTTTCCTCCCGCAGTCCAAAGATGTGCAGGTTAAGTGGATTGGCCATGCTAAATTGCCCCATTATGTCCAGGGATGTGTAGGTTCGATGCACTGGCCATGGGAAATGCAGGGTTACAAGGATAGGGTTAGAGGTGTGGGTCTGGCAGAAATGCTCTTCAGAGGGTGGGTGTGGACTCGATGGGCTGAATGGCCTGTTTCCACACTGTAGAGATTCTATGATGTCATTAACAAGACAGTTCAATACACAGTTTCTACTGTGGATAGTACCCAGCCCCTGAATGAGCAGACCTTTCTAGGTTCAAATCCCAATCCAGCGCTTAATTCTGAAGGCCACTACTCTGGGTGTGATGTAGAGTCAGAGGTGCCAAGGCCAAGCCGTATCTGCCTGTTAAAAATCCCATGATTTTTTGATCTTCCTTATCCTTATCCCTGGAACCATTCCTGTGAATTCTTTCTGCACCCTATCTCATGCCTTCAAAATTGCAGCTGACAGAGATGGGAGGGATGTGAAGTGTGTAATCTGTAGCACTGAAACCGATGGTTAAACAACATTTTGTCTAAAATCTTCTTACATGTCCATTCTTGTTTACTTGTGCTCAATCTTTAAGAAATGTATGTATTTGAACCCCCGAAACTTCTCTATTCAGAGGGAAGGTATCAGGAATGAAATTTGTCTGTACATGCACTCCCCAGGAGCTATTGGGCAATTTCCTGACAAATATTTAATTGCGAAATCTGTGTATGTGTCAGATTGTTCTTTTATCAACAAAGTGCAGAGTGATGTCCCACAGCTCTGATTATTTTTTGGCATGGAGACAAAGTATTTGCTTTCCCATCAGGCATTGTGCAAATGTTAAAACGTCATTACAAGTTGTAAGAGAGCCAGACGGACTGGGAAAATTGTTGAGGCAGCATTTAGAATTTTGTGGTTAACTCTTATACTTGTATGCTTAAGATCATGGTTGCAAGCCCATTAGTATGGGACATGGAAATCAATGGTGGTGGAAAGATTATTTATACTTCAGATGACACCTGCACACAGTTATTACCCAACATCACCGTCTTCACCAACATCACTTTAACCAGCCCTCAGGCCCGAAAACGGGGGAGATGGATGTTAAACAAAAACAGAAATTGATGGAAAATCTCAGCAGGTCTGGCGGCATCTGTGGGAAGAAAGCAGAGTTAACATTTCAAATCCAGTGACCCTTCTTCAGAACAGATAGACATTGGTAGCCAAGCTGAGCAAGAGGGAGGCGGGATGGTGTGATTGATTGTAACTTTCCTGAGAAATGCCCCAAGCAGTTCAGTTCAGGTGGGAGTGAGGATGAACAATAAATGCTGGCCAAACCAGTGATGGCCACATCAAATTGATAAAAAAAACTCCACATCTGACATATGAGCAGATGCCAATGCTAGCTAGTGCACTTGTGTCGACAATATTTTTTGTATAAGCAATGTGTAAGTTCCATTCATTTGCTGGTATCGGAGGAAGTGCCATCCTGTCCATGACAAGGGCTACATTTTGTAGCCTCCGCCTGTGGTCTGTGGGAGATATGATTTCTGGCAATTGCATGTGTATTGCAGCCAGTGCTCAGTGGCAGGTTATATACGTTTTGACAGTGAATCTTTGTTCAGCTGCAAACACTCCCAGTCCGGAATGTCTGATATCTAGTCTGGCTTACATCATTGCATCCAAACTGCCCATGGACTGTACAACTGTATGTCTGTGGCTCTTCACATAGAGGCTGTGAAAGAGCAAGATATAGCCCTGACTTCATAAACCTCATCACTGCCTGCATTGCTACTGCCCTGATTTCACCTTCCCTGTTGTAGACAGAGAATCCTGAGAAACCATGAAACCCAAGGGGAATGTGCAGACCTCTACCAATGTGACCCGCAATGCGATAGACTTCAATTGAATTGTTGTTTTCTTCTTCTCTTGTGCAAAGGTATAGATTAGCACCAGGGTCCTTACAGAATGCCAAGCACAGGGTGAAGACTTCATTGTCAGAATCGTTGATTGCAACATGCTGACTGGAACTGGCAGCAAATGGACCGTCTGGGTAGTTGTGTGTCAGTTACTTTTCGAGAAGAAATAAAAGTAGGTGTGATTGGAGATCAATCATTTAAGCTCCAGGACATTTAACAAGTCGGATCTGGGGCATTCAGCACTCTGAGCCTGCTCTGCCATTTAAGCAACATCTACTCAACCATTTTCCTGCACTATTTCCATATCTCTTGATCCAAAAATCCAAGCCTAGAACTTGGTACCACCTCCAGAGACCAGTTTGCCTGTCATTCTGATGAAGAGGGACATTCATTTCCAGGTCCAGTAAAAATGGTTATGGATCATTAACCTCCTTGTTAGATTTGAACCGTCTCTCATTGAGGAAATGGACTTTAACATGGATATTTTGCCCACCAAAGAACGTTTTGGTGATTTACGTTCCTCTGATTGACCCACCATCACATTTCTTCCTTTTTCATCCATGGGACATGGGCATCACTGTCTGGGCCAGCTTTTAATGCCCATCCATAATTACCCAGAGGACAGATAAAAGTCAACCATATTGTTGTGGATCTGGAATCAGATATAGGCTAGAATGGATAAGGATTGCAGATTTCCTTCCCAGGAATGGGCAACAAATGCTGTGCCAGCCAACGATGCCCATCTTCAATGAGTGCATTTAAAGAAAAAGGCTCTTTATGATAATGGTTGCATGGGTGCCATTAGGCTGGCTTTTTATTTCTAAAGATTTTATTGAATTCATGGCAAAATGTTGTGGTTCTGGATTACTACCTCCACTGCTATACCATCACCTCCACACTCTTGATGCTATTGGTGCTGTGTCTGGATCAAAGTAGATCACTCTTGGCTGATCCATCTCACAAGAATTCTCAGCACTTGATCAACAAACTGTCCAAATGTTGATTGTGGTTTCACGAATGGAACCCCTTGGTGGAGTATCCAGCCAAAACATTGTTGTTCACTTGTGGCAGTGTGCAGGGGAGGTGTGCATTAGTCAGGCTGCAACCATCTCCTGGGATCAGCTGGTTGCTGTGTGTCACCTTGTGAACCTGTCCTTTGCTCTCTACCACATAGATCAAAATGTGGAGTGGTGTTGAGGGACAGGGGGGTTCTAGGTATTGTTGTGTTCCAGTTTCGTTTAAGGTAGGAGTTTTTGGTTGCATTGTTCCAATTGTCACACTCCCTTTGAATAATTAGACCATTCGTGTTGTGAGCTGTGCCCTCTCCTGACAATATCTCCAAAGTGGCTGAGATCCTGGACCAGTACAGTGTGGATGTTGATTGTGATATTGGATGGGACATACTGCTCACTGCTCTTAGCGAACCTGGGGCTCAGCCAGTGCTGTGCGTGCACTGACACCTCAGTGTTTGAAAAGCCATACCCCAGACCATTAAGAAGCCTGATTAAGAGAAGCTTACGTTGAGCCAGTCATCTGTTTGAAAGACATTGTCTTGTATGTTGGTATGAGCCTCTTCCCATTGACTCCCATGTTCATGACATCTCATCATGAGGAAATACTCTTGCGGCTGTTGATATTATTTCTGAGGACGTGGAGGCTAACTTGTTATCTATGTTGTCATGTGAGGCCACTATCTCCTAGATCATTTGCTGGATCAAACTGGGGCACCGGGACACAATAGCCACCTTAGTGTTGGGAATGAAATCAGGTTTTTCGTGTCCCAGTGGTCTTGCAGCAATGATCAGAATTTGAATGTGGTTCCCTAATGAGGTCCATATTGGGATCTGTGTCTATTTTAGTCTTACTTGCCCTTGCTTCTGAAGGCACTGACTGCCTGATCAACTACTTCATCTGTCACAGATCCTCAATAAAGACAAGACCCCTCTCAGATGTTCTGAGACTTTTTGGAAAGTGTGAGATTTTGCCATTCTCTTGGTTCTCCATCACAAAGACCACTTAGTCTGGCCCTCTGTAATATCAGCTGTCTCAGCCTTAAACTGAGCCCACCAGCTGCTAAAACCCTCAGCTGTACCTTTGCTGTCTCTATGTAGACAATGCTATCTCCATTCTTTCCCTTTAGATCATTCAAATTCACAATCCATGCCAAATAATATTAACCTAATCACCATGTTCTTGCTGAACTACATGGATTCTCAGACCCTCAAAAACTCCAATTTAAAACTCTCATTCTTGTGTTTAAATCCATTCATGGACTCCTCCCATCTTGCTACGTAGGCCTTCATCCAGCTCTACAGCCTCAGACTTTCCCTTGCAGGCTGAGGTTTTGTCTATTCCCAG